TTTATGATTTTTTATTCTACATTGCCTCTCTATTGGTATTGAATAACTTTTTGAAATAACTTTTTGAAAACATGTTATCTTAATTGTTTTTCATTTCTATTTTATTTTTTATTTTTATTTTTTTAAGAGATGTTCTATATTATTATCTTAAATTTGATCAAAGATGAAAATGAATATTCTATTAATGTATATGAGATGAAAGTAATTTAATCATAATATAAGATTTTGTGAGAATACTATATTTGATTACTTTTCCAGTAAAATATCGTTGATTTTTTTAAATTTATATGAATACATAATTATAGTAATTAAAAATATTAAAGATATTACGATGAATGTAATTTTTGAGATTCTAAAATTCTGGCTAAAATATAAATATATATTGTGATTCAAATTAATTGATGATACTTTATATATATATATATATATATATATATGTATGTGTGTGCGCGCGCGTATATTCATGTATGTATGTATATAAAAGAAGAGAGAGAATGAATTCATTTACTTCATGTGTAAATCTATTTATATTTATCCCGTTTAATAACTAATATTCTATGTTAAATTTCAATAATTCAATCCTTAATTCAAATTGACAGATAATTATAAAAATATTTTACACATTAAATTAAATTATTGAAATGAAGTATCACACAATTTTAATTTCTTAAAAAAAATTATATTTCATCTATGCATTAAAAACTTTAAATTAAATGATAAAAATTAGTTTTGGTAGACTTTCTCCACTCGATTAATAATTTATCATCTACATTAAATTTCAATAATTCAACCGTTGAATTAAAAGTTATTGATGTATAGATTAAGTATATAAATTTTTAAAAAATTTAAAAATCATATGATACTTTGTTATATAGATTTGAATCGATGTATAAAGTATTTTAATGATTATTTATCAATTCTAATTAATGAAATGAAATATCAAATAATTTTTAAGTTTTTTAAATTTTGTAGACTTGATCTATATGCATTAAAAACTTTTAATTTAATGATTAAATCATTGAAATTTGATGTAAAAAATTAATTATTTTGTGAAATAAATCTATCATGACTTATTCTTATAGTGGATTCCTCCTTTTAAATAAACTATCAAATTATAATATGTATGATTTTACAATTTGAATATTTAAATTAAGAATAATTTAATATAAGACATGTCATAATTATACAAGACATACAAGAATATAAGTTTATTTGAATTTATATTAATATTTATTATTATTATTATTATTTTATTTTTATACATATTTATATATATTCACTAATATATACTTATATAAAAATAAGTTAATTTAAATTATAATAATATAATAGATATATCACCTTAATACTACGTCCAAGATAGAAGATATTATTCTAGTTTATATATTTAAATATAATATAATATAATATATATATATATATATATATATATTATGCATGTAGAATTTTAGTTTTTTCTTCATGAGATCCTTAAATCAAAATTGAAAATTGTGATTCTATATGTTTTTGTGTGAAATGATTTTAATTAGCTAATGATATGGAGTTTGGATATTAGCAATGTATCAAAATCAAACTCCATTTAAATTTTAAAATGAAAACACAAATAAATTATTAACATTTTTTAACTATTAATGAAAATAAAAAATATTTAAAATAAGTATTGAATTATAATATTTATTTTTTATATGCATTATAATAATTACTTAGAAAGTATTTTTTAAGTGACTTTTATAATAAAAACATTTTTAGTGAGATTTTTTTTACTAATGTATTTTTAAGGTATTTTTTAACATGTTGTCTCTCTTAATTTATCATTTTTTATTTATAATTTTGAATTGTATTATATATATAATATAATATAATTATCAATGATTAAAAATATTTAATATTACAGTATAAACTAGTTTTTATAAATCTAAAATATAACATCTCAAAATTTAACTTATAGTTTTTTTTAATAGAATAATCATTATTAATACTTTATTATTATTATTATTATTTTTATAAATTAGTCTTTTGGTCTATCAATTTTTTTTTTAATTTAGTCTCTTTATTATTAAAATGATCAATTTGGCGGATTAGTTAATTTTCTAAAATAATGCAATGCCGTATTTTCTAGCCAATCTATTAATAATATAAAAAGTCAACAACTTCCTCTCCTCTAAAAATCTTTTTACATTTTTATATATAATTATATATAAATTATATTATAAAATAATTTGATATTAAAAATAACTAAAAATAAATAAATGTATCAAAATAATTAATACCACAATAATTAATAAAAATGTTATAGATTCCACCTCTATAATTAACAGAAAAATACAATGTAAATGATAAATTGGACAAAACAAATGAATAAAAATAATTGTAGATTTTATGTCAATAAATAAAAGAATTAACTATTTTTTAAAAAAATATTTCCATTGAAATAACTAAATTAAAATGATAGAAATCTATAACATTAATCAAATTAATTTCTTAAAATATATTTGTTAAATTAAATTATTCTCTTAAAGTATATTTTAAAAAAAATATTTTAAAAAATTCATGTAAATTATGGGTATTATTTCTAAGTTTGGTAGTATTCTAAGAATTGAACATGTAACTTGGGTTAAGATAACCAATATGAAAACTTTGCATTCCTAAGTTTGTTTTTATACGTTGTTTTGTTTTCTTTAAAAAAAAAAAGATAGTTGTTTAAGTTCTTATTAAACATTTTAATAAAGAGAAAATTTTCATGTTATTAAATATTGTCTTTCATCATACAAAACATTATGCAGATTTTAAATGATTTGTTTTAAAACAAATTCAACCTTTTTTCTTATATTTTCATGTGTCTTCCAGTCTAAAAAATAATCAATGTTTATTCAAAATACCCTAACCAACGATACTCTAAACAAATGCTTTATTTGATGTAAACATTGGTATTAATCTTGGTTTTGCTATTATCACAAGTGGAAAAACAAGAAATATGTCATCATTAGACTAAGTAAAATTATCATGTAACACAGTAGGCAACGTAGTTCAAGGGAAGGAATGAAAGTATGAACAATCTAATAAGTAACATCACAATCATTGTGGTGCTAAGCATGACTCACAACATTAAAATTCACTTACTATTGATTATAGGAAATAAAAAATATTAAATTAAAATTATACCCAATTCAAACGAAATTATTTGTGATGAAAAATACTTCTCATATCTAAAAAATCAAATACTAATTAATACTGAGTGATAATATTATAATTGCTAAAAAAAATTAAAATAAGTTATAATCAGACAATGGATTATAACAATGTAGTAATAAAAACATAAATAACATTTATAATAATGGAAACCATACAAATATAATTCTAAAATAGTTCTTGCAACAATACTGTTCCTGCATCGCATACTACAAAAAACTAGGATTTAACGAGAGTTATTTAGCTGGAATTATCATAATTTCTAGAAATGTATGAAATTATCAAGGGTTTTATTAACCATAATTAAGTTTTAACGGTTTATAATAAAACCCTAAGTAGATCGATGGGTTTATCAATCGTTTTTTTCCCTAACCTGGCCCTAATCCTTGTTTAATTTTTCCTTCTTAGTGCGTACTCTACAACTTCTCTATTCAAGTTGCACAATCCAACCTTTGAGGTTGCACAATGCTTCGCTATTCATGTTAGCCTCTGTATTTAGGCCGCACAAGGTTTCATTGTTCACGCAATCCTCTGTTACTCAGAGCACATCCCTTTTTTTCAGAGACCATTTCCTCCTCAAAGTCTCCAATTTCCTCCTCTTCATTGAAGGGAAGACCGCATCGCCTAATTTGTCTAGGTTTTCAAAGACCATTCCTTCATCATATTATTTATTGCCTAATCTAGGTTTTAATATATTTCATTATATAATTTTCCAAGTTTAAATTATGATTTACATTTATATTCCAGGTTTCTGATAAAGGAAGCGTACCAACTAATGAAACAAATTCTCAAAATGGAGATGAACATATTTGATAGTTGATGATGAGCATACTATCTAACTTGCAGATATTTTCTTTTATTTTTGGAAATTTGATAGAACATATTGTACTAGTTTGTTTTGAGGAACATATTGTAGGTTTTTATATTTACTATTTTGTAGAATTAATCACACAATACAAGTTTCATACATTGTGCTTGTTATGTATGTACTTTGTGTTTTGCAGTCAAACTAATATAAATGTATGTTAGTTCTATACTTTGTATTTTGGACCTTTATTACTTGATTTATTTTATATAAGTATATAACAAAAAGGTCATTATGTAAAAAATATCTAGTATAGTATTAAATGTGCAGGTATAAGAAAATATTTTTTTAAAAAATACGTATTATTGAAAAGTAAATAACCTAAGAAAAATTTAGATTCTATTAATAGGGGTTGTGTAACCCCCAACATATTCGTGGGGTTATAACCCTCGCGAATCCACATGGGTTATAAACACATGTTATTTAATGGGAGTTATAAACACACATTACTTAATGGAGGTTACGTAACCCTAATTAATTATTAAGGGTTAAAAATCACAATTACATAGCTGTGATTAGAAACCCTTGTTAATTATTGGGGTTTAGAAACCATAACTATATAATTAGGGTTAGAAAACTTTGTTAATTACCGGGGGTTAAAAACCTCAACTACTTAGTTGCGGTTTAAAACTTCTAAGAAATTTGTAATTTCTAGGGTTGCTAAAAACTCCTTCCCTACGGATGATTTATTGTAAGTTTGTACAATCCCTGAAAATGCGTTTAGCGAAGGTTATAACCCTGTTAAATTCAAAATTATTCCCTGTCAAAATTAACCCCCTCCTAGCAAAATATAAACTATAACTCTTCGTAGTAATTGTTCTTATAAGATATTATTATTATTATTATTATTAAAAATGATTATTATTTCTCGTCACAATAATATGGGTACAAAGCAACAGTCTCTTATTTTATTTATGCTAAAACTAGAGTGATTTCTAGCTTTCATCCCATAAGAGATGCATTATACAGTTTTAATTTCAGTGTATTAAATTTAGGAATTAAGTTGCAAATGCATAGATGCATATTGAACAAGGGAGTTTAGTTCATTGTACAACCATTGCATACACGTACTCTTTCATTTTATTCTTCATGATTGTACCATCTTATAATATATCTTAGAAATCGTTCTTGCAAGGGATGTTCTGCCTTTGCTTTGTTTATTGTCGTTTCAACAAACAGAGGATCCCTTTAATATGAAGTCTGATGTTTATGAAGCTCACAATGCCATCAAGAATATGACTTCTGCTGAGAGACCTTGACACGTTTGGAATGTAAAACATATTGCTCGCATCCACAAATAACCTAAAGCAAAGAAAACGTTGCAGCAAATTCTTTTCAGATTTCATCAAGTGCAAGAAATTAGCTAGCACAGATAATTAACTAAAGAACATAATAAATGGTTTAGAAATTAGTTAGAACTTCATATATATGACTAGTAACAAAAATCAAGTGAATATGATTAATAGTTAATACTTACGACATTGAATAAACTTTTCTAATATGTATAAGTTAATTTTTAGAAACTCTTTTATATGAGTAGTTTTGAAGATATTTATTCAAACAAATCTTTAATACTCTACCTTGGAGCTTTGGCTCTTGGAACATCTAGAATGTTTTGTAATTCTTGGGGCCTGCAAGGGACAGCAAGTGCTCCTTTTTGCCTGAAACCATACTCCTCTCGAGCTTGGTTCAGTAAATCCATGAACATAGGATCAGTCAAATAGTCTAACTTAACAACAAACCTTCTGGTTTCTTCACCCTTCATGGCAAGAACAACAAAATGTCCCTCCATAACATCGTCTGGCACCAAAGTTGCTTCTTCCACTTGATCCTTGTTGAAGTGAACAAAGAGTGAGAAACTCTTTTGCAAGTTCTGAACACAAGACTTAAGCATCTTCAAATTAACTTCCTCTACTCTTAATTCTTCTTGGAGTGGAAGACTTTGATATGGTGGTCTCTACATTAGAATTAGTTCATTTATATTGAAACACACACACACACTTGAAGCCAAGTGGATAATAATTATACATAACATTCAATGCTGATATTTGATGGGTCATTTTCTTCCTTCAAATGGACAAAAGCGTGGTAACTCTCCCTAACTTTATGTTAAGGGCCTAGAACTTGCCTTGTCTTACTGTGTAACATATGGTTGACCATAGCCCCTATTCTTTCCTTTGTTGTTTTTGTCTTCAAAGTTGCAGGTTCCTATTAGCAAGATATTTATGGTCTTGACTCTTGATATTTAGGCATTACAATATCCAAACTATTTTCATTTTCAAATAATTCATCAAGTGCAAAGACCCTGATTGCAAGATTTGTTAGAGGGCACATCACAGAAAACCAAGGGTAATGGATGTTGTTACTCTGTCGGTCAGTTCATAGCCATTGGCAGTGTTAGATTTTGCTGTGCTAATTTACACTGATAAAAAATTGTTTTTATTAGAAATTTCAATTAAAATCTATGTTAAAAATCATAACAAGAATTAAGTTTTGATTAAAAGTTACAATACTTAATAAAAATCATAATAAGAATGAATCGATATATTACTTGAGTGAATACATATCATTTGAGGGGTGAGAAACAGATTTTTCCCATTGCCATTGTTTCCATTCAAATGGTATTATTCTTACTCCATATTTCCCCCCTTCTCCTAGGCGATTTCATGAAATAAAATGACAACACTTTCTGTTATTCCAAAACGTGTAGCTACTTGTCTTCTTGGAAGCACTTTGTGCTAGCTCTAGGTTTTCACATGCAAATTACATTATATAAATAAATGGGACACTTGATAGCATGGCGTATGGTCAACATCCCCATTGTTGAGCTTAAAAGGAAGGGAAAACCATGCCATGTGATGCATCATGAATTGTAAGTATCACCGTTTGCCCTTTTCTGCTTGCATGTCATCGGTATATTGTTATGTATTAATTGCCATTTCTGAAATGTGAATGGGCTCTACAGAAAAACGCTTTTATCATACTGTATGGGCCTAGCAAGTGTCTGTATATACGGTACATCGAACCTTATATGTTAAATATAAATTTTTATTTTATATGAGAATATTTTTAGATTTTTTTTTAATGAGGAGATTTGTAGAAACTCTTTTAATTTTTTTATCTAATTTGATTTTTTTCTTATCATAATTATTTATGAATTAAATATTAATAATTTAAAAGAAATTATTAATAAATAAATTAAATATTTATATATACTAATTTTAAATATAATTTAAATATTCAAACATCGTACATATATATATATATATAAATTATTTTGAATTTTAATGAACTCCTATTTATAAAACACAAACTTCTAAAGTGTTTATTTTTAGAAAAAATTCAACGATAAAGCTTTTAAGAATTCTTTTAATTTTTTTTATTTAATTTGATTTTCATTTATCCTAATTATATATAAATTAAATTTTAACATTTTTAAAATAAATTATTGATAAATAAAAATAAAAATATTATTCTATAATATAAATATTTATCATAAATATTAAATATAATTTATATATTTAAAATTATTCATTTATAAATTTTTGTAATATAATTTATATTCAAACATAATATTTATCTGTATATTTTATTTATTATAAAATTTAATACATATAATAAATATTTAGCTAATTTGTGCATAATACAAGTTAAAATAGTCGTATATAATGAATCCATCTATTGCAAATAAATCCATGTAACTTTGAACGTGTGTGCCAGATTAATTTGCTGTAGTTTCTTTAACTTTATGTGTTTTGGGACTGGTGATAAGTGGTGTGGATCTCGACCCAATTGGTGGATCTCACCTAGTTTGGTCTCATTCGTGATTGGGCCAGCCCAAACCAATTTACTAGTCAATGCATGACCTAATATGAGTAATTTCTCTCTGATGTTATTGTTACCCGATGATAGGCACTGTTTTTTAAGAGTTTTATCGTCATACATCGTTAGTGTAAAAAAATTTATACATTTATGTCCAGTTTAATTTATAGTACGTAATTACTTTTGCGAACTTCGCAATTATAACCCAACTGTTTTTGTCTTTTTTCTAAATGCTAAGCTCTATTGTGTATGAAGAACTAGATGACAGAAATCTTGGAGAAAAAGATAAGGTGTACTATAACTTCATTTTAATTTATAACAGGACATTGATTTATTTTACTTATTTCGTTTTATTTCCTGCTCTTTACAAATTACTTGGTTAGGAATTTATCTAAATTGAGTTAGTCTTCTCTATTATGGGTTCATATAATCTTTAAATCTTATGGCCTCACTGTTTTTTAAAATCTTGACTTTAAAATAAAATATATTAATTATAAAATTTATTGAAGAATTAAGAATCTTATCATAAACTAAAGTCATTGTAAAAGATCTGTTGTCATCTAGATCTAGGTACACATATTGTAATATAATTAAATCATCTTCTTGATAAGATGGGAACAGATTTAGTTAGCTTGACAGCTTCAAATTTCTGGAGCTTGCAGTTTTTCATGATTTAAATGTGGACATTAATTATATATATATATAGCATGAGATGAAGAAAAACACATATGTATATATATACATATGAATTTCTTCAGAGGCGGTGTGGAGGCTTTCTCTGCCTGTTGGCATAGAAACATGTCATTGAATGCAATATGTTCAATGTTGAGTCCTGTTCTCTTTACGCGCTACTTTCTACGACCAAATTATATATTCTAATCCATAATTTCCTCAACTTTCGTACTATATATTAATTATATCAAAAATAACATCCAATCTTGATTTTTCTTTTGCTTTCAATTCAAACTTGACCAGAGAAGTTAAGATTTTAATAATCTTTATTTCTATCATGCTTTTTCATTCCCTTGGAAGCAAAAAGCTTTACTTTCTGGCCAAGCAGGATATTTTAGTCTCATATATATAAATAAAATATAGACTTCAAATTAAATTTCCACAACTACTTTTTGTGTTTGACTTTTACTCACGTAGCGTAGGAAATTTTCCACTATCAACCACGCCTATTGTTAGATTTAAGGATAAAAATAAATAGTGTTAGAATATTAATTTTTCATACTTGTTTAAACTAGTTTGAATAATGTCCATATACACTTGTGCTCTGTATATATATATATGGTGGGATCTTTATCTATTCCAATAATAAGTTATAGTGTCTATTATCAAAATATCTAATAAATTTGTCATTTTTTTTTCTCTGTCCTTCTTCTTTTATAATTATTCTTCTTAGTTTTAGGGTTTCTTATCATAGACTTGATAATTGTCCAAAAGCTCTCTCAACTTAGTGCATTTTAGGGGTGGGTACAATCGTGTTGATTGAAAAATTAAAATATTCATCTTGTTAGTTATCTACTCTCAACTATAACTCCCAATAGGCATGGGCCTACAATTTCAATAAGGTGGAGATTGGATATCGATATGAGAAACTCTCTAGATAAAGACCAAATAGATAATAACTTTAGAGGGGTGGGTTTGGCTATATTCTGTCATAGAAATGTAAGGTCAGTTGAGTATCACTTCTTAAGGATCGACTACATATCCCACAAGTTTTGAGTTGTTTGCGAAGAAGCTTTAGGTCATTTTGTTTAAGTTCTTTTCAATAACTTAGAATTTTTCTCAATATTTTAGTCGGCATTTGGACAATCACATTATATGGTCAAAATTCGTTCCAACCTTAGAAATATTTTATTCGTATTATATGTTTAAGTTCTAATGTCATATAGATCAACATTTTACCGAGTGGTTTCGCGAAGTATCATTTTTAACTTAGAAAATTTTCTAACATGTCATATGGATCGGAATTTTACCGATTAGATTTGTGAAGTATCATTTTTCACTCAGAAATTTTTCTAGCATGTTATATGGATCGGAATTTTACCGAGTGGTTTCGCGAAGTATCATTTTTAACTCAGAAAATTTTCTAGCATGTTATATGGATCGGAATTTTACCGAGTGGTTTCGCGAAGTATCATTTTTAACTTAGAAAATTTTCTAGCATGTCATATGGATCGGAATTTTACCGATTAGATTTGTGAAGTATCATTTCTCACTCAGAAATTTACCGATTAGATTTGTGAAGTATCATTTTTCACTCAGAAAATTTGCTAGCATGTCATATGGATCGGAATTTTACCAAGTGGTTTCGCGAAGTATCATTTTTAACTTAGAAAATTTTCTAGCATGTCATATGGATCGGAATTTTACCGATTAGATTTGTGAAGTATCATTTTTCACTCAGAAATTTGCTAACATGTCATATGGATCGGAATTTTACCGAGTGGTTTCGCGAAGTATCATTTTTAACTCAGAAAATTTTCTAGCATGTTATATGGATCGGAATTTCACCGATTAGATTTGTGAAGTATCATTTTTAACTCAGAAAATTTCCTAGCACGGTATATGGATCGGAATTTTAACTTGGAAAATTTTCGATTCTTTAGTAGGAAATTCAACTCTAGTTCTAAATTGATTTATTGCTTAGAATCGTAGATAAGAATTAGAGCGAAGTAAAAAAGGAAATATCAAATTTCAAACATCCAGTTCAACAACCTACAAATAGGAAAGCATAGAAATTCCAAAATAAGCATGACCTCGTACAAAACACTCGAGGATCACAAAGGTAGAAGACTACATAAACATCATCAATCATCTTCACGAGGATCCACCAACTCCCCGTTCACAATTTCTTTAAAATAACCGACACCTCCAAGGTCCAGATCGCTGTGCAGAAATTTCACTTGAGTCGTTGCGGCATCGAAACCCTGCACGAACTTCTTCAGCGCATCCATCTTGGCAGCTTCAAGGTCGGCCTGTAACTTTTCAATCTCAGACTTTGCCAAGGCCAAATCGTTCTCGAAGACTTGGGCTGCATCCGCATTTTTGTCTCGAGCTAGTCGGACCCCCTCTAATTCTTTCTCAAGGGACGACTTCTCGGAAGCCCAAGCCTTCTTCTCCTCGTCAAAACCACGTCGAGCCTCAAGCAATTTGTCTCGTTCATTAGATACCCACTTAAAATCGGCTTTGCTCTTGGCCCAGCTCTCCTCGAGGGACAGGATCCTTTTTCCTTGCAACTTAGTTTCCCGCACCAACCCGCGGATCTTATCTTCGTTAACAAGTGAAAGAGCAGAGAGGCGATTAGACAATGACTCGATCCCTTTAGCAATGGAGAATGAACTCATCTTCTCCAAGTCCCCCTTATCGCCGTCGAGCAAGTCGGTGCAG